ATGAAAGAACAGAGTTGTGTAATTAATTGTATCTTGGACTTCAGGTACATAGAAGTGGATTCACCATCACGCTTAGATCATAACCCATTCTCAGCACAGCTGATGGGTCAGTCAACCTCCTGAGAGCTTTTCTGTAATCTGAAACTGGCCCCCAAAAGCATGGAGGCCAGAGAGAGACCAAACAAAGAGGCAAGCCACTCCAGGTTGGGAGGTGGCAGCTTTAATAAGCAAGGGAATTTAGAGAGGAGGCTTGTCTTGGGCACCAGCATGGTGAGTGGATCCCCACACCATCCACCGCATCTTAAAAGTTTAGACAGAGGCCTTAACTAGGGTCAGTCACATACACCATGCAGGTGTTCTCAACACAGCATCACCATCTCCAGGATCTGTCCTTGGAACAGCCTCTGGGAATGGGAAAGACAGGGGCAGGGGTGAAGAGCCTCCAAGTGCCCAGGTCCAGCTCTCAGGGCAACTAACGGTCCCGTCTTTTCCATGACCTTCCCCAACACTGGTTTATATGTGGTCCACTCTAGTCAGTTTTGGGAGGGGGGATTTTTTTTTTTCTATTGGTTTTGGGTTTTGTTGTGTTTTTGCCATTCAGTGGTTTCTAGTTTATACACAATCTTGCACAACCATCACCGAAATCACTTTTAGAACGTCTTCATGACCCTCAAGGATCCCTGTACCCATTAGCAGATACTCTCTCCTGCCTCCCCAACATCCCCAGCCCTAGGCAACCACTAATCCACTTTCTGTCTCTACAGCTGTGCCTACTCGGGATGTCCCCTCTAAGTGCAATCATACAATATGTGACGTTTTGTGACCAAACTCTTTTACTTAACATAATGTTTTCAAGACTCATCTGTGTTGTAGCATGTACCAGGACTTCATTTCTTCCTGTGACTGTACCACATTCCGTCTTACAGATTGACCCCATTCATCAGGTGATCGCCATCTGCGTTGTGTCCACTGTTGACTATTATGAATAATGTTGCTGTGAACATTCATGGCCAAGTTAGTGTGTGGACTCATGTTCTCCTTACTCAGGGGTATACCCGGAGGAGTGGAATCGCAGGGTTATTTGGTAGTTCCTTGTTGCATCTTTTGAGGGGCCGCAAACTTTTCCACAGCAACTGTGCTCTTTTGCATGCCCGCCAACGGGACACGAGGGTTCTCATTTCTCCACATCCTCACTGACACTTATTGGTCAGGTTGACACAGAATTGACCGTCACAGTGTCTTTGCAGTAAACATGGAGGGGTGTTGGCGAGGCCTGCCTTCTACACTGAGGGTCAGACAGAACAGCGTCCGTGGGACAACAATGGAGTTTTTGCGTCATCTTCAGGTCCGGACTCACTTCCTAGAGGTTCTGCTCAAATGAGGTAGTCGAGGCAACACATTAAGGTATTCCTCAAAAACCTTCAATATCTGAGATGCCTGGGTGGTTCAGTCAGTTAAGCAGCTGCCACTTGGTTTTGGCTCAGGTCATGGTCCCATGGGTGGTGAGACTGACCCCAAGCTGGGCTCCATGCTCAGCACGGAGGCGGCTTGAAGAGTATCTCCCTCTGCCCCTCCCCCCATTCACAGTCTCTCTCTCTCTCTCTCTCAAATAAATAAATAAATCTTAAAAAAAAAAAAACCTTTCAATATTCTGTGCTAGCAGCTTCCTCAAAAGCTGATTTTATCCCAATCTATGCCTAATCCACACCGTTAAACCCCCAAAATTAAGGCACAGATTGTCCAAATTCTTAGTTCCACCCCAACTCCAGTTATGAAATCAGTTGAATGCATGACTAAAACTAGAGATAAAAATAAAAATAAATGAATAAATAACACTAAGAGAAGCAGCTTCTAGAAGCAGCTCTTGAAATGTTTCATTTTCTTAAGGGACAAGGTTATTACCTGATATAATTCAATGAAAGGTAAGACTACTATGGGAACCATGTGTAATTTGCCTGAAAATCAAGAGATAACATTAGGTTTCTCTACTGAAGATCCATGAGAAGAGTTTAGTGTTTGTCTTTTACATTCTAATTTAGAGTGGATTTCTAGTCCTTTAACTGGATGTACCAACACTTGGATCACAGTTAGGCCCTTTGCTCTAGGCCTGCTCTCCAGGTACCTGTGTCAGCGAGAGACCCCTAGGCAGGTAAGAGCAGTGACACTTGTGAAGGAGAATAATTTACCAGAAAGCCTTCTATGGGAAATGAAATCAGTATCTTGAAGAGGTGTCTTCACGTCCGTGTTCACTGTGACGTTATTCACGTAGTCAGGCTATGGAAACAACCTAGGTGTCTGTTGATGGATGAATGGATAAAGAAGATGGAATAGTATTCAGCTATAGCGAAAGAAGGACATCCTGCTATTTGTGACAACAGAGACCGACCTGGAAGACATCATTATTTTTTAAGATTTTATTTATTTGACAGAGAGAGAGTACAAGAGGGGGTAGGGTCAGAGGGAGAAGCAGACTCCCCGCTGAGCAGGGAACCCGATGCGGGACTCGATCCCGGGACTCTGGGATCATAACCTGAGCCGAAGGCAGTTACCTAACCAACTGAGCCACCCAGGCGCCCCCGGAAGACATCATATTAAATGAAATAAGCCAGACAGAGAAAGACAAATATTGTATGATCCCACTCATAGGTAGATTCTTTAAAAAAAAAAAAAAAAAAAGATTGAATGTACAGAAACACAGGATAGAATGGTTGCTTGGTTGCCAGGGACTGGGGGATGGCAGAAGCGAGGAGGTGCTGGTCAAAGGGCACAAACTTTCAGTTATAAGATGATTATGTTCCGAGGCTGTAATGTACAGTGTGGTAATTATAGTTAACAATACTGGATTGTATACCTGAAGTTTGCTAAAAGAGTAGATCGTAAGTGTTCTCACCACAAAGGAAAAGGTAACTGTATGAGGTGATGAGTCTGTGAATTAACTTGATTGTGGCAATCATTTCACAATGTACTTGTGTATCAAGTCATCGCATTGTATACTTTAAATAGATAATTTTATTTGTCAAATATACCTCAATAAAGCTGGAAACGGAAGGAAAAGAAAACCTCCTTTGGGCCTTCCAGATGTGAATTACACATGGTCCAGAGTAGAAGCTTCTCAGAAAGCAGATGAGAGGTTTCATGGGGATTTGGGATGGGGTGAGGCATGGATTACCAAGGGTACCATGAAAATTCTGGAGTTATTTGATTGAGGTGACAGTTCCCCTGACTTATGCTGAAACTCATCAAATTTAAACATGCACATTTAAATATTTACGGTTCATACTACATCACTTATACCTCAATAAATGTGCAAGGTTTCTGAGGGGAAAAACAAATGTAAAAATCTCACAGACCTCTTTTCAAACAAGATGGGCTATCTGCACCTGAGGCACTGCCCCAATCTTGACTTGCTGTCAAAGCCTGCTTGAAGTGAGTGATATCTGAGGACAGCCGAGAAGGGACTACTAACCATCCATTTGCTCATGTTCTGATCAGCAAATTAAAACATCTGGAACACATAAGCCTAGTGCCTCATCAAAATGTCCTCAGTTAGCCATAATTTCTCACAATGTTCTCAATTATTTTTCAATCAGGGTCTAATATAAAAAATGGCCATGTGAAATCCATGTAAATATTCTTTCTTGCAAAAAAGAAAATGAAACAAGGAAAGAAGAAGGCAATCTGTGGTAGAGAGCATAATGGTCCCCCAGAGATGTCCACATCCTAAGCCCTGGAACCTGTGAATATAATAGGTCACATGGCAAAAGAACTAAGGTTGCAAGTGGCTTTAAGATTATTAGTCAGCTGACCTCAAAACAGGGAGATTGTTTTGATTATCTAATAATCCCATTACCAATGGGTAAACAAACCAATGTAATCCCAAGGGCCCTTAAAAGTGGAGGAGGGAGACAGAGGGTGATGTGAGCCAAAGAGAAAGGCATAGAATGATGCAATGCTGTTAGCTGTGAAGACAGGAGCAGTGGCCACAAGCCAAGGAGCGTAGGCACCCTCTCAACCTGGTGGCTCTTCCCTGGAGCTGCCAGAGGGAACACAACCCACCAACACCTGGACTTCGGCACAGTAAGACCCATTTCAGACCTCTGACCTCCAGAACTGGAAGATACTAAATTTGTGTTTTCAGCCACTAAATGTGTGGTCACTGACTACAACAGCCATAGAAAACTACCATAAATACCTTCGGGTGAGGTAAAATAGCACCGGCTTCATTTATGCCCATTCCCTTAACAATTTTTTTTTTTAAGATTTTATTTATTTTTTGACAGAGAGAGACAGCGAGAGAGGGAACACAAGCAGGGGCAGTGGGAGAGGGAGAAGCAGGCTTCCCGCCTTAACAAATATTGAGAACTTTCCATGGGCAAAGAATTTTGTTGGGAACAGGGTACACACACATGAAATGAAATTTGTGCCCGGTGCCCTTTAATGTGTAAGAGCCAACGGGCAGATACTGACTGGAAAAAGAGCACTGAGAGGTGGGACCCAGAATGGAACGAAGAATTAGGGATTCGCAGTCCTCTTTGGCCAAGAAGACTGCAGGCCCCGCCCTTCTCCTCCATCTATAAGGTGCCATATTTGGCGGCCCAGACGTGGGTGAGGGTTTGGTTCCTCTCTTCCCTGCTATCTCAGTGAAATGGAAGCTACTTCTCTCACGCGCATGTGGGGCGAGGTTTCAAACCCTTTCCTCCGGTTATAAATGTGCAGAGCATTAGCGAGCCTCAGCCAAAGCTATAAACTTCAACCGGCCACAAGAGTGTGCACGTGGGATGACTGCAATTTTTTCCTGCCAAACCAGAATTAGCCGGTATAGGAATGAACGAGCGTGGAGATTTGAAATTGCACCAATTGGAAGAAAGCCCAGGTTAGGTTCGGGCACATCCAAACGTACCCTTTTTAAAGCCACACGGACTGAGGCCTGGAGCTGGAAGCTCCACGAAACGCTCACCTGGCCTGGCAGCGAGCGGCGGAGAGGAGCCCGGGCGCCGCGCACCGAGCGCACAGAGCCGGCAGGAGAGCCGAGCCGCAGCCACCGGCATCTCCATCCAGGATGCTGGGCGACATTGCAACAGCTCTCTACGCCCAGCCGCTCAGGGGGCTCCGAGGCAAACAGCAAGTTCGGGGATCGGGGCCCGGAGCCGAGTGAGGCCGAAGCCCCGCGCAGCGCGCGGGCGGTGAGTCTCCCGAGGCCATGCGGCCCCGGAGGCACCCTGGACCGCGGGTGGCCGCTGCTCTCCGGGGACCTCGGCGAGGCGCGGCGCAGGCCGGAGGCAGGGCCGGGAAGGCTGCCGGGCGGTGGCGGGCAGGGCTGCACCGAGGCGCGGGGGTCGCGAGCTGCGGGCGAGGCCACCGCGGGGCGGACGGGGAACCTGGGGCCAGGGCGGAGCGTGGGGACGCGCGCCTCGCCCCCCCCGCGGCACCCCGGCCGGGCCGCGCTCCCGCCTCCGCGAGTCCAGTTTGAAACTCGAACCACGCAGTGGCGGAGCGGAGAGGGGGAGACCAGGGGCTGCGGTTAGGGGACGTTCGGGGGTGCGGAAGCCTCCCCGCGCAGGCGGCCGGGACTGCGCTCGGCCAGCTTCCCCGCGGAGCTGGCGGGTTTCGAGTCCGCCGGAGACGCGGGTGCGCGGGATGGGGCTCTCGGGGTGCCGGGGAAGCGGGCAGAACGCGGGGCCCGGCAGTGGGGCGCGCGCAAGCCCAGGGCATGCAGGTGCTGGTTCCCCCGCAACTCCCGGAGGGAGGAAAGGGAGACTAACGGGGGCGAGGGACGCGGGGCGGCCATTACCCGGCCAGAGGCCGCCAAGGCCATTGGCGAGGTTTTAAAGAAACTGAATTCTGCTTACCAATTAAGTCGTTTTCTTTCCGCGGGAAAGTTGATTCAGGCTAATTAGCAAGGATGAGTGAGGATTATTATTGAGGATTAGAAAGATTCCTTTTCGCCTTGTCTGGCGCGCGCGCGCGTGTGTGTGTGTGTGTGTGTGTGTGTGTGTAAGAGAGAGAGATGGGGGGAGGGTGGATAAAGTAGGCTTTGGAATCCCTCAGGCCTGGCTCCACTCTCTGCTAGTTTGACCTCCAAGCTTCACTGTCGTCATTCGACAATAGCCTCAGTTTCCTCGTCTGTGAAATGGGACATTAATGCCAACTGGACAGGATAGGTGTGGAGAAGCCACTCGTCACAGCCCCTGACCCATAGAAGGCATTTGTATGTTTAGTTCTCCCCAGTACAGCGTGAACCCAGGGGAAGTTTCCGATTCCCCTGCGCTGGCCTCTCCGCACTCCCTAAGCTCCCCAACCATCGCGGCTCTAACCTCTTCAGCCTGTTGGGCTCAAGTGCGCCCCCTAAGGCCCAGGATTGCCTTGCACACCAGGTCTAGAGGGCGAAAGAACCCACAGCCCAGTTGGAGGCGGACGCACCACTCACTCTCCTGCATCTTATGAAGAACCAGTAACCATCCTACTCTGTCCACCTTTCGGGAAGGTTGTAATTTTAGTTTTAACCGGGCGCTTTCCCCTTTGCTTGTCATTTATAAAGAACTCACCGCATGCCGACATAATCATAGTAGCCAAATTAAAAGTGAATGACTTGTTTATAAAACTTACTCTGGGAACAGAGCTGTGGAATATTAATTTAGTTTTAATCTCTGATACACTCCAGCTGGCTCTAAATTATTTTCGCCTCAAACTGGCTGGCCTCCACCTCATAGCTTTCAGGGATTACTTCATTTCCCTCCATTTATGATGATTCTTCCACCATTTATGAACCCACATTTGGGGCAAATGGAAGGTTGACTATTGGTCCCATAAACTTCCCATCGTTTTCCTTCACCTTCTTCTGTGCAAGGCCCTAATGTTATATGCTGAGCTTCCAGCAGGCCAGCCTCGAATGGGTTCCCTCTTACATATTGATCTTAGAGGAAGCCCCACACTCAGTGCCTCCATTTACCCTCAGTGTACCCCATGCGTGTTAATATTCTACACTTGTGTCAGGATGTGGAGAAGGTGAGAAAGCTTGAAGGCCATGTGGTGGAGAAAGACAGGGAGCTTGGGGACAGGATGGTCCAGAACCGTCACTGGTTCACTTGCGTGCTCTCTCTCTCTCTCTCTCTCTCTGCTCATGCGGTGTAGACTAGGATTTTAATACTCAAATGGTTATTTTGTATCTTATAGTTATGTAAATGCTAAAAGCAAACTTGGGGGTGGAAGGGGTAGAAATTCATTTTTCTGTTGTCTTTTGTTTGTTTTAGTTAACCTGACTGGGCAGTAAGTTAACTGTGATTAGTCAAAACGTGAATTGCTCATAGAGAGATTTAGGTATGAAATGCAGATGGTTCCATTAAAAGGTGTGTCTTCAGGGACCTCCTGAGGACGCGACAGAACTGCGTTTTAGCCACCCCCACCCTCCACCAGTCTCTGCATTGGCTACTGTACGTTACGCGCGCCCTTGCGCCTCTTGGATAAAACTTGGCAATTAAATGCTATTTGATGTCATTTATTTATGAACAAATAAAATGCAAATGTTGAGAGCAGTTCAGTGACAACTGCATCTCTTAACCCATAAAATAAATAATTCAGTGAGAATATCAAGTTCTTAACATTGCTTAGGAAAATGCTTACTATTTCAATCGTGAGTTGAAAAACTGTAACTTTTTTGATGTTATTATTTCACTTTTTCCTTGATGTAAGTGGGCTTTAGGAAAATGCCAAGTTGTGTTGTTTTGTCTTACTAAACGGAGCTGAGCATTATCCCACAGATTTAATATACATGATGTTATTACATCAAGTGCCTTCCTTAATGCCCATCACCCAATTGCACTGGGTATTATATGCAACTGATGAATCACTAAATTCAATCTCTGAAACTAATAAAAAAATTTTTAATTTAAAATAATAAAAATAAAATAAAATGATGTTATTATTACTCATATAGGCCAGTCACTCCCCTGATTCTTCGCTTTCTGGCTTCTTGGAATTCTGCATACAAGAAGCAGAGACAGAAGGAAGACAGCCACTGAACACCCTTTCTGATCTCCCTGTAGGTTTATCCTCTGGGCCTTCTGCCAATGCAGCTCTTTTCTGGGCTTCGAGCTCTGGAAATCAAGGGCTGCCCCATCACTTCCTGTCCCCAGGCAGGCTGTCCTCTTGCTGGGGGAGAGCAGGGTAGTGGCAGGCTAGATTTACTCCGGGAAGTGGCTCTTGAATCATCTTCCTTCTTTTTTACAAGTCAGCCACTCATCTACCAGAGGCAAAAAGCTGATCCAGATGATGTTTAAAAGATAGAGGGACTTTTATTTCGTTATTATAAAGTTAATACGTATTTGTTACGATTTTTTTATGAACAAGGTAGATTAAAAGGAGGAAAACTACTTTAAGACCATCATCCAAAGAATAATCTCCCTTACAATTTTTGTTTCACTTCAGTCTTGGAGTGAATGGATACCTATTTTTAACAAAAACAACGAAGGGATGATTGCACACATCTAATTTTGTAGCACTCCCGTGCATAATTCGCACCTTCTTTCCATGTGTTCAAACAACCTTGTACAATGATTGATTGATTGAACACATACTCTACTGTTGGAGATTAGAGATGTTTACAGGGGTGGAGGGTTCTCACCGTGTCAAGGTTTCACTACTATATTTAGCTGAATCTTGAAGGAAGAGCAGGAGGTTAGAAGGAGAGAAGTGTGTTCCCGAAAGAGAGAAGAAGAGAAGGTCATGCCCCAAAGCTTAAGACACTGTGCCAAGGTCAAGGAGCTGTAAGTGCTTTAGCAGGGCTGGAGCACAGGGACCAGGGGGGCAGATAATCTGTGGAGAACCTGGCAGTGGCAAAGGGGAGTTTGGGCTTGATCCTAAAGATATCTTGACAGTGTGGATAAATCACATGGCAAGATAGCATTTTATCCCTCCCAAATGACTGCAGAACAGGGAGGTGGAAAATGACCCAGGCAGAGAGGAGCGACATGGGCAGGAAGTGTAGTGGTTGAGAACTGGATGGCTGTTTAGGACATAAAACCATTTAAAAGATAAAAATAATAACAAGGACAAGGTATGAGAGAAGGGGAAAGTCAGGATGAGCCCCAGGACAGATCCATTAAACTGCTCTTCCACTGGCATCCTTGGGTCCCAGGTGCCCATTTCTTCCCAACAAATTCGTAGCCAGAACCAATGGCACAGTCCAGGGATCAGCCAGCTTTTCCTATGAAGGGTCAGAGAGTAAGCATTTTAAGTTTCATGGACCACATAGCCTTTAAAAAAGGTAAAAACAATTCTTAGCTCAGGGGGGTACAGAGAGAGGCTGTGGGCACTGTGCAGTCCACCACAATCCACTTCTCTGCCCATCCCCCAACCTGTCCACACCAAAACACTTCTGAGAAAAACCCCACCCTTGGAGGGGGTCCTCATGTATTTGGGATTATTTTTTAGACCTCCTTCCTCCATTGCAACAACATGATTTTCAGTAACAACCATGTAGTGGGTTCATAATAATCAGTATTTTCTTGTTTTTTCTTCTGTTTTAAAATAATTAATTGAAAAAAGAACAGACTTCTATTTTGAAGACATTATTCCAATTGGGTAAAACATTGCCTGTATTAACTGCACACTTCACTTTCCAAACGAAACGTTTCACCTCACGGTCTTGCACTGTTTCGCTATTTTACATGTTAAACAAAATAAAATCTCCAGGTAGGCATACAGAGTGACAGAAGGGAAGGAGTCAAGTTCTGGTTCTTCGTCTCTACAGTAACTGTGCTGTTCGTCCATCTCGAACGTCCTGCTGAAGGTGGGGACATGTGACACCCTGGGGGCTGTGGACCAGATTGTGCCACAGAGACCTCCAACAATTCTCAACTCCTGGGAACTTACTCTCAAAGCACATGTGTGTTGCTGGGGCCTCATGGGTGTCGGGGTCAAGTGTAGAACCGGGAGTTCTCTGAAATAACTCCCACGGATAATACAGTGTTTACGAGAGGGTAAGTAATAGCACCACGCTGGTTTGAAGCTTACAGATAGAAAATTAAAACATCGTTGTCTGCAACTTAGAGCAGCAAAAGATTTTTTTTCGGAAGAAGAGTATTTTATCAGTGATGTTGTCTAGATTTGCTGGCACATAGTGATCATAATAAAAAGCAGACCAACTTGTAGTCGTTTGCTGCTTTAACGTTCTCTTCTGATGATGATGCTCAGGCTCCCAGCGCTCTGTCCTTGGTGCTGCACGCCCGTGGCTCTGTGGTGCTGTCTTGCAGGGCTCAGCTCCACCTTCAGAACTGCCTGGCAATCATTTCCACTCGTTGTGGGCAACAGTCTCTTCCATTTTCCTGAATGTTGAGGGCCCTTCATAACCACCACCCTCTTCGTTCTCAGCCAGTGACCTCACTTCCTACTTCATCTAAGAATTAGACCATCGGGTGTAACTTCTCCTCCCACTCCTTGGCATCATCATCTCCATGCACCTCCTGCTTTGCTCCTCCTGATCAAGACCAATCCTCCTGTCCCACCACCTCCAGGATTACTGTCTCTGTCTCTGTCTGTCCTTCTTTTACTCCTTATCCTCAGTTCTTATACATGTACTTAATTCTCATCCTAAGAAATAAAAATGAAACCAGAGTCCTCGCCTGACCTGGCATCACCACCCCCCTCCAGCTCCATCCAGCCCCCAAGCCTCTTTTTTGTGGTCTTGTGTATCAGACCCGAGTATCACCATTATTAGAAAGCTCTAGCTCCCATTGTAAAAAATAAATAAATAAATAAATTGGCCTTCTAGTTTACCAGTCTCTCCTGAGTTAGGTTCATATGAGTTGGTCTTCTGAGGCAAATCCACTCTGCTGTACTGAACAACTCAATGCTTGGACCCACAAAATGAGGACCAGATGCTCTGTAAAGAGCTCTACCAAGGCAAAGCTACCCTGAAAGACTGTTTAGAGCCAACTGTCTTCCTTCTGTGACATCTTTGTTGTCACCTGTCAGTATCCATCTCGATAACGGACACAAGGCATGGGCTTTGGAGCCAGGGGTAGCTGGGTTTGATTCCTTAGGCTCCTGGGCAGCCATACTTCCCGGGCCGCCATACTTCCCGGGCCATGAGAACTTGGGAAAGGCACTTCTTTCTTTGAGTCTATTTCCATTTCTTTAAAATGTGAATAATAATACTCATATATAGGATGACTGTAGAGATGAAACAGGTTTCACAAAAGCACTTGGCAGTAAAAGAGTCAGGAGTGTTCCCAAATCTGCATGATGACAAGATGATTCTGAAGGCCACTTTGGTTATGACGGGGAGGTAGAGCTGTCCAAAGAAGAGAAAGCTTCTTTTGGTTTGACATTCAAGGAAATTATTTGTCATGTGTATTTCAGAAAATCTTGGAAAATGTATACAAGTCATGAAGATATTGGGTATGATTTTGAAGATGACCCCAAAGATAAGAAGACACTTAAGCCCCACCCAAACATTGACAGTGGATGGGCTTGGATGGTGGTTCTTTCCTCCTTCTTTGTGCACATCCTCATCATGGGCTCCCAGATGGCCCTGGGAGTCCTCAACGTGGAATGGCTTGAGGAATTCCATCAGAGCCGCGGCCTGACTGCATGGGTCAGCTCCCTCAGCATGGGCATCACCTTGATTGTGGGTATGTTTGCATGTGACCTGTTGTAAAACTGAGTTATTATAAGTTGACAATTCCCCTGCTCTAAGTAAGGTTTTATATTGTTGAAACAGATACTAGATATTAATGATGGTACTATTTTTTTATCATGGTACAATATATGTAAGAGCAAATTTACCATTTTAACCATTTTTAGGTATACAGTTCATTGCCACTGAGTGCATTCATCTCCACCATCCAGAACCTTTTCATCATCCCAAACTGAAACTCTGCACCCATGAAATAACTCTCCGTTCCCACCTCCCCTTCGCCCCTGACCACTACCACTCTATCTTCAGTCTCTACGAAAGTACCTCATATAAGTGCAATCATACAATATGTGTCCTTTTGTGTGGTACTACTATTTGAATATTATAAAAAATTTGGAGTGTCTTAAAAATTGATCATTTAAAAAAACTCTCTTTTGCCCCAAACTCTGTTTTCTTGACTGCTCTAATTCACTATATATCATTATCATTACAGATCTGTTTATTTAACATTTGTGAATATTTGTAAAAGATAAAAATATTAGAGAAAACACCACAAAAAGGCAAGCAACAATCTTATCTCAGAGTTCCAGTGATTTAATTTGAAATACTGATCATATGCCGTTGAAAAATCTATTAAACTGCTTTTAGAAAAGTTACTGATATAGCTAACAGGAAGGAATAATAATGTATTTTCTAGTTAAACCTAACCACACACCAATCTGTGAAAGTAGTTCTCGTGCAGTTGGAAATGCCAAGCTAGAAAGTTATCATAAATATAATATGGCCTATGTTTTTCCTTTTGGGAACTAAACAATTTTTACTGTCAACTAATATTTAATAAGCATCTATTATACACCAGGTGTTTTCCCTTACATTATGTCTTGAAAGTAAAAGCCATACTTTTACATCGAATCTTTTTTACATTTATTTTTATTTATTATTTTAGAGCGTGCGCACAAGCAGGGGGTGGGGGAGGGGCAGAGAGAATCTTAAGCAGGCTCCACGCCCAGCACAGAGCCCCACTCAGGACTGGATCTCAGAACCCTGAAATCATGACCTGAGCCAAAACCAAGAGTCCCAACGCCTAACTGGCTGAGCCAAATAGGCACCCCCTACATCAAATTTTTTTTTAATTTCAAGTATTCAGGAAATTACACTGGAAACATAAATTGCCTCAAATCTTTTTCCAGTTCTGTGAGAATTTGAGTATGACAGGCATCTGTGCGTTTGATGGGAGTCTCCCTTTTCAGTGATTTCCACATTGGCAGTTAACTCCTTGAATCCAATTCCAAGATTTGTTGATCTTGGCTGGCATTCAGTCAATGTTATTTTGGATAATACAAACAACATTAATAATGGTGGTAGTGCTAATGATCGAAAACAAGGACAAAGTATTATTTCTCAAGATGTGTGTGGAGTATGTGTGTTCATCAAAGGGAATTAATAGTAATCTGGTTTTAAAATTACATAAGGACACCACTGCGTGTGTGAGGGAACTGCTGGTAAATCATCTTCCCTGCAACATTAAACAACTGACTCCTTCAACCCTACATTGGCCTTGTTAAAACTGGGATATCATAGTTAAAACACAGGAAGATTTACTTCAGCGTAGGCAATGTGCTAGTTTTATGTTGGATGTGATTCAACCTTCTCAATAAGTCAGTGAAGGAAAACTGTGCTTCTAGAATACCTAACATCCAGGTTTTTTACCTTTTTTTAAAGATTTTATTCATTTATTTGAGAGAGTGAGCAAGAGAGAGCAGAGCACAAGTCAGGGGAGGGGCGGAGGGGGAGGGAGGAGCCGACTCCAGGACTCTGTGATCACCACCCAAGCCGGAAGCCAGACGCTTAACCAACTGAATCACCCAGGCATCTGATTTTTACCTTTTTAAAAACAAATCTGTAAGGGGAGCCTGGCTGGTTCAGTCCATGGACCATGCAAGTCTTGATCTTGGAGTTATGAGTTCGAGCCCCACATTGGGTATAGGGATTACTTACAAATAAAATCGTAAAAAAAAAAATCTTTAAGGGGTAGAACAAAATACTTACAGATTCAATCTAGGAAGTATGTGTCTACCACAAAAAAGACTCAGCGAAAGGCCAGGATAGGAAATGTCCCATTACTTTCCAAATCATCCAGTGAGGCTTCACAAGCTCTACAAAAATAAGCAGTGGGAAGCAGTCCTGAAATTACTGGCAATGATTTTGAATATGACCCCCAAAATAAGAACACCTAACTCATAGCGATGGTGAAATGTGATTGTCCTCTTTATTTTTTTTAAAGATTTTATTTATTTTATTATTTGAGAGAGAGAGAATGAGAGACAGAGAGCACGAGAGGGAAGAGGGTCAGAGGGAAAAGCAGACTCCCCGCTGAGCAGGGAGCCCAATGTGGGGCTCGATCCCGGGACTTCAGGATCATGACCTGAGCCGAAGGCAGTCGCTTAACCAACTGAGCCACCCAGGCGCCCGTGTCCTCTTTAATTTAGTTGGGAGGTAACTATACATTCAGAATTCTGTTTGAGAGTCCATGAATCCCAGACAGTGTCATTTCAGCTTGTAGACTAACCTTTCAACAGGAAAGGCACCTGCTAGATAAATATCTTGTGTCTTGGGAATCATAACACAGCAAGGCTCATAGTTATATAAATAAAAGGTCTTTTATCTTATCGTGACCCTAAATTGCTGTTCATTATCTTAAGCTGCCTGATTCAGGGCGGCTGCAGGTCTGTTGGGTGTTTTCCAAGCCAAAAGCCTGCAAGAACAGCTCTCCTTTATTTGCCACTTACCATATGCCACATTATGTACACAGTCTCATTTAGATCCTGCAACAACACTAGCACCAGGGAGAACTCTGTCTGTCTGAGGAAGAAGATGCAATGCTCACAGAGTTTAAGTAACTTATTGGAGGTTGAACAGCCAATAAGCATGAGAGAGGCTTCAAAGCTGGTCCACTGGACTCAAAATTGTGTCTACTGTACCATACTGCCTGCCACTACCTCAGATGAGAACTGAAAATATGTGTGAAGTGAATAAATAGAAATTGTTCTCATTTTCCAATCATTAGGAGTCTATTTGGGTTTTCTCTTTTAAATTAAAAAAAAAAAATCCGTGAATTACGTTACAGAGTGGAAAGCCATCCCTCTCTTGGGCAGTGGCTTGCATGTAGGAAACTCAATAATTTCATTCTTTGCTAGCATGGACTTTGCCAGTTACCTGCCAAAGGTCCCAATTTTTAACAAAACGTAATCGCCTCAGTCGTATTTACGGCAGCCTTGGTGACAGCCCTCGGAAGAATTCTTGGTGGAAGCTACGTTAGGGGAATCTACGGGCTGCAAAAGGTCACTGTCTTGCTAAGTAGAGTTAGAACAGTGGTTGACAATCCTGGGTACACATCAGATCCACCTGGGGAGCTTTTAAAAATCCTGTTGCTCATGCTGCACCTAGACCATCAAATCAAAATCTCTTGGGATGAGATCCGAGCATCAGGATTTTTTTTAAGCTCCTAAGTGACTCCAATGCTCAGCCAAGGCAGTGAGTCATTGATTTAGAGGCTCTGAACTCCTTATTGCAGTGAAGGGTTAGCCCAGGAGGCCAGGAGTTCAACGAACCTTCTTTCATCCTTGACTGTGTGCCAAGGTCGCCTCAGATAGTTTCTCTCCTCACCTGAGCTTTTGTGAACCAATGAGATGCGGGAACCGGCAAGAAATTATTATTCCTTTATTATGTGGGAAATGGGCCAGAGTCAGATCCCTTCTGCAGAGGAGAAAGTGTGCGTCTCATCCCAGAACACTGAATTCCTCCACAAAAGTGGGAATCATATCGCCAGACAACTGTCCCTCCTTCACCTCCTTCACCCCTGGTCCTTAGACCATGTGGGGAGTTCGTTTCATTTTGGCAAAACGCGAATTTGGCCTCAGAGATGCCAGCTGAACATCAGCAATGATGAGAAAATGGAGCGGAATCAGAACGCTTGGGTCCGACTTCTTTATTTTGACCTATCCGTGTTTTGTGGCCATGGAGGGTGTCACAGCATTTCCCGGGCTGGCTTTGCCCATCTGCGAGTCGTAAAGGACGGCAGCTCTACCACGTGAGAGATGATGAACTGAAAAGTCAGACACTGTTATCAACTTACCTTCCTATCAGTAAAGCAATTCATCCTTTCTCTTTGATATACAACGTCCCTCCAGACAGGAATATCTGCTTCTACGTGGGAAATCCACCTCCCTCCTTTCTCCCCAAATGTTTTCTGAATGCGGTGTTTCCGAAATATACAGTATCACAGAAAAACACTTGCTTCTGGGCCCTTTTTGTTACATGGAAAATATGATCATGCTCCTGAACTGCGATCTGGTGACCTGTCATAGCTTAAAGGGCCAATTAACAGCGGACCGTTGAGTCGTGCCTTTTTCTCTTTTTTTATCCATTCATCCGAGATTCGGTTAGTGAAGTGACTATGGGTTTAGGAAAATAAAAATCTTTGCGGGGTGCCCGGGTGGCTCAGTTGGTTAAGTATTTGACTCTTGATTTGGGCTCAGGTCATGATCTCAGGGTCCTGGGATTGAGCCCATCCTCAGGCTCCAGGCTCAGCGGGGAGTCTGCTTGAGAGTCTCTCTCTCTCTGCCCCTCCCTGCACTCACACACATGCCCTCTCTCTATATCAAATAAATAAATCAATCTTTTTTAAAAAAATATTTGTGGGACACCTAGGTGACTCAGTCGGTTAAGTGTCTGCCTTCAGCTCACGTCATGATCTCAGGGTCCTGGGATCGAGCCTTGCATCAGGCTCCCTGCTCGGCGGGGAGTCTGTTTCTCCCTCTCCCACTCCCCCCGCTTATGCTCTCTCTCTCTGACAAGTAAATACATAAAATCTTTAAAATAAATAAATAAAAGAAAAATAAATAAATATTTGTGAAGAAATCAAGGACACATCTTCAACTTATGGTTTCAGAATTTCAGTTGCCCCCAATAATTCCCTCAGATGTTTATATCAATGTGTTTGGTTTATGTATTATTTATATCATGTGCTTATTTTATAATATATAACAGTATATTTATGTAAAATATACTTACTATATTGTCTATTCTAAGAGGTTTATCTGCTGAGTTCTTTTCTGTAATGCACCAGGGTTAAATTAATAAATCATTAACTTCATAACTTTTAGGATTAGGCCTGCTCAAATTCATTAGACAAGGAAAAAAGTTCATTAGCAAACTGTACATCTAAATATGTACATGAATATAGTTAGAACTTTAAAGGAAATTTTAATTTCAGTTTGAACTAAAAGGGGAAGCTCCTTAGAGTTTAACAGATTTTTAACCTGAAATAGTCTCACCAGAATATAGGGTTTCATAACTATGAAAAGTAACAATGATCAAAAATAAGATGATTTTTAAAATGTGCCATCTTACTGAATATTGACGACAGCCTCCTACTGTACTGCTAAATACAGATTGCTTTTTGCACAGGAAATCAGGAATCACAAGGCAAGCATTAAGCTTCTGTGACATCAGAAGTTACCACAGGGGTGCCTGGGTGGCTCAGCTGGTTCAGCATCCCGCTCTTGATCTCAGCTCAGGTCTTAATCTCAGGGTGGTCCCCGCATTGGGCTCCATGCTGGACATGGAGCCTACTAATAAAAATAAAGAATGAATGAATGCATGCATGCAAGAATAAATAAATAAATAAATAAATAAATAAATAAATAAATAAATAAATAAATAAATAATCAGGAAGAAAACAAAGAGGTTTGACAAAAACCAGAGCGTCATAGGAAAGTTAAGTAACCAGGATGTATGTCATATGATACTATATTGCTGTGAGCATGGCACCCGCTGCAGACCGGAGCATATTCCTGAATCTCCACAGTGTCAATAAAATGCATAGCCTGGTGGGACCGGCTTGGGACTGAGAGTTGGCAGGGGCTGAAGTACATAAGAAGTGATGAGAAGTTCTTTTCAACACGGTTTGCATCCAGGTGTCCTCATGAAAATAAGCTATCAGTTCTTTGGAAGCATGGCAGTCCTGAGAACCCCCTTCTTTACTCCCCTTAGGTCTGGAGTCAAAAACTCAAACAACAAGTAATGTAAATGAGCCGCAGCACAGCTCCAGCCCATCGTGGCTGTGTGGGAAGCTGCTGGATTCTGTGTTGCCATTGGATTTCTTGTGAATGCTCTTAATTTTTAAATGCTGGCAACTGATTCAAAACATCTTTTAAAGATTTTATTTCTTTCAGAAAGAGCGAGAGAGAGCAGGAATGGTGGGGAGTGGCAGGCAGAGGGAGAGGGGGAAGCAGGCTCCCTGCTGAACGGGGCTCCATCCCAAGACCCCGGGATCATGACCTGAGCTGAAGGCAGACACCCAACCAACTGAGCCACCCTGGCCCCCCAAAACATCTTTTAAACTATGTTCTGGATAAACAAAATGCATCCACAGGCTGAATAAGCCCGTAGACCGCTAGTTTAGGACCTACCTGTGTTGTAGACAAGAGAACGAACTAACTCATTTGTCTATTTATTGCAGGTCTGCTTTTCTTGGAAACCTAGAACTTTGCGCTCTCCAATGAAATTACTGAAACCCATCTTTGCATGCTAAAAGCTTTTTGCATATAAAGCAATGGGGGTTTGGGTTCATTTTATTTAATAGCCCTAGTAATGTTTTATTCTTTGTCTTCATGTGAGGATTTGCAAAGAAAGCAAGAAAATAAAACACCATCAGTCAATTCCCTTTTCAATGTCCTGTGACAGGACCTTTCATCGGCTTGTTCATTAACACCTGTGGGTGTCGCCGGACGGCAATAATCGGAGGGCTGGTGAACTCGCTCGGCTGGGTACTGAGCGCCTATGCCGCAAACGTGCATTATCTCTTTATTACCTTTGGAGTGACAGCTGGTAAGCATATTGATTTTTTAATCTTAATTTTAAATATATTTGTTGGGCATTTTGACAATGAGTAATTGTGGAGAAAAGAAACCCATTAAAATATTTTGTCCTTTTTTTAAAAGATTTTCTTTTTGCGAGAGCGTGAGAGAGAGCACGAACCGCGGGGGGCTGGGGGGGGAGGTGCAGAGGGAGAGGGAGAAGCGGACTCCCTGCTGAACATGGAGCCCGGTGCTGCGGGCCCTGATCCCGGGAACCTGGGATCATGACCTGAGCTAAAGGCAGACGCTTAACCCACGGAGCCACCCAGGCGTCCCATAGTTTGTGCTTTTCCTCCACCCCACGCCACCATATACTCCAGGAAATACTTTTTAATATAAGATATTATATACGCCTTAAGTGTGGAAAAACAAACTAACAAGTGTACTTGGCCTTCCTATTAGAATTTAATTAAATTTTTTATGATTGGTTCCAAGTGCTAGTCTCCTCTCTTATGAAGAACAGGAAAAGGAAAGTAATAATACAGACGTAGGTGAATAGATTGAATATTAAGAAAACTAAGAACATTCTCTCATTTAATAACTGCAGAATGGAGCATGAATCATAGAATAATAATTTTCTCCTTCAGCCCTATTCAAATGAATGAAATAGCAGCAAAATCCACATATATCTATAGACTCTTAAGAAGCAAATCTAGAGCAGAGAATGTCACTCCCCCAGCGAGTAAGTAAAAATTGGCTACCAGGCAGCATGGTTTACATATCCAGTCTGCAAAATACATTCCCGGCTATAATTTCCTTTATCAACAGGAAGCAGAATTCACACAGATAAGAAGTAGTTTCTTACTTGTACAATTGTATTGCAGTAAACCAGATCCAGCCTGACTTTCTTTTTGAGTACAGAGCTACCATCCTAATAAATGACACATTGACAGAAGTGTTGATATAAGAAGTAAAAGCATTTGGAAATCTTGCCTTTTTTTTTTCACTTATTATCTGTGTGACTTTGGGCAAATTACTTAACCTACTTATGCCTCAGTTTCCCTATCTGCAAAATGGGGTCATGAAGAATGCTTGGTTTAGAGGGTTGTTGAAATGATTAGGAGATCATCTGTATAAAGCACTTAGCACAATGCTTATCACAAAATAGAGTCCTTAGTGTTAGCTAATATGTAATTGTTATATTAATGTAACGTTCTTACGAGCTTAAGTGCATGCTTTATGATAGCAGGAGACTGTGAACACAAACACCTACTCTCCAAAAAGTTGGCAAGTTGGTTCTCTGTAATTTACATCGATCCACATCTACACATAAAGCACTTCTATGTCCTTTGAAGCATAGTTTGAAAACCATTGATCTGAAGGACTTGGTAACAGTTCTTAAAGAATAACTTAAGATGTTTCCCCTGAGTGTTTTAGAAGCTTTCCCCCAAACACTCCAATGAAGAGAGCCAGCACTGGGGTTTTTATATTATAGGTGAGGAAATACTCCCACTAAGCCTAAGGAGCCACACTGGGGTCCCCAGGCAGACACGTGGCACACCTGTGAACTGGATGTGGTGGTGGTTGATTATACAGACTGACTCGATCCTACAAACTGGGACTTGAGATTAATTCTCGTCATTTAGAGATCTCTATGATTAGATTCTTTGTTTACATGAACTTTATTTCTTGCAGTTAATTGCTTATTGACCTGCCATTAATATTGTTCCCATATTTTTTAAAAAAGATTTTAGGTATTTGTCAGAGAGAGAGAAAGAGAGCACAAGCAGGGGGGAGGGGCAGAGGGAGAGGGAGAAGCAGACTCCCCGCTGAGCAGGGAGCCCGATGCGGGACTAGATCCCAGAACTCTGGGATCATAACCTGAGCTGAAGGCAGATGCTTAACTGACTGGGCCACCCAGGCGCCCCATTTTATTATTTCCATATTCATTCACTTATTTAACAAATATTTCTGGACCCAAGAAAGTAGGAGGAAGATCAGGGGGCTGCTGAAGGGGAAGTGTGTCTTGAGACACTTTATTGCTCCCACTTTTTATATGGGAAAAACCCAAAGAAAGTCTTGGAAAATAAATGTATCACATCCCCCACAAACATATATCCAACTATATGTAACTGGAAAATCCAGCTAAGTCAGTTAGCTTATAGAGGCAAAATCCTGGGCTGTCATCACGGAGGCATGTGGAAGCTGATTGCAATCTAGCCCTTATTTAACAGAAAAGAAAGATGGGAAAATCTAAAAAGCAAGCACTTGAGAGATACATTTCGCTATACAATGTACATTTGGAAAAAAAACTATTGATAGTCTTCTTCCTTCCAAAAAGCATTTGAGACAGATTTATTTGTATCTGTCTCTCTCTCTTTTTTTTAAACACCTAGACAATTAAAACTGTGTAGGAGTATCCTCCTATGAGGCAGAAAAATAATGTCTGTTTGAGCAAACTTACTTAGCCAGGGGAGTCTGGACCAAATTTCTTCAGCCTTACCAGAGCTGCATTTTCTTAAGCCTGTCTCCTGAAGACACCTTTTCCCCCACCCACACTGACCCAGGATCACCGGATTTTCTCTACCCATCTGGGCCTCTTTCCTCCACCTGGCTGGGAGGGTTGTAAACCCTCCTCTGAACCGGCATGTGGTGAAGAATTATTCCAGGACCCTGCCCAGGGCTGGACATTAGCAGGGCCTTGACTCACCACTGGGCTCGAACCACATATCCCCAAGGCGTGTCCTACAAGCTCATGGAATAATTGTGCCTATAACAGACAGCAAAGCCTTGTGAGGAAGGAGGGGATGCTGTTAAGGGCATGGGTAAGTGTAACAGGGAAATAGATACTTGTACCACTGGCATGGCTTTCTTTTTTCCTCACACATGGGATTGTTTATTATGCACACTAAGTTAGAATTAGTGCTGCTCTTAGGCTTAGGTACCTCAGTTCTGTTCCTAGTCATCATTTTATTCTGCTGTTGTTTAGAAATCTTCTATAACTACATTAAATTTAGGATGTTGGTTATTGTGAGTCACAAATCAAAAAATAAACTTGTGCTCTCAGCAAAATCCAGACAATGACAAATTTTACAGGACAAATGACCCAGTTTCCTCAACAAATAAATTTCAAGAAAAAAAGAGAAATTTCAAGGAAAAAAAAACAAATTTAAAGAGGCTTAAGATTCATATCAACAAGTAGCACTGTGTGGGCCTTATTTGGATCCTGATTAAAGAGACAGTTTTTAAGAAATATAGTCATTTATGAGACAATTAGAAATTTGAATACCTTCTGGATATTTCATGATATCAAGGAATTGTTTATTTTATCAGTTAAGATATAATCATCATTATGCTGTTTAAAGAATTCTTCTATTAGAGATTTATACTAAAATATTTGCACTTGAAATGATGTACAGGAGATCTGCTTTACAATTAGAGGGAGGAGGGAGTGTGTTTATGGGCTATTAAATATTTTTCTCTGCCTCTTTAAATATTAGGAAATGAGAAATTCTGGTTTTTTGTGGACTTAAACGTCATAAAGATTAAGCCAGAGTTTAGTTCAAAATTAAGGATAGCTGTTTTCTTCATGCTCATTTCTCCCATAATGCAAATAATTATTACCCTCACTGAGGCTTGCAAAGGGGCTTGGGGACCTGCCCCACTTCTGCTGGGAATCACTTAGAAGCTAGCTTAATTGTTCTTAAAACAAGGGCATCCACCTGAAGACTGGTTGAAGATCATTGACTTCTGACAGTTGCTGTAAATTTCACTGCTCTCAGGTAAATAAAGGAGGCGGGTTGCTTCTGGAGGCTTCTTTTAGAAGCCCAGGCTGAAGCAAAATCCTTCTTCAAAATCCTACCTGCCAGCAGCCAGGGGGATGAGCGGTTTAGGGTGAGAGGCAGTGGGCCGTGGAAAAGGCCCAGGCTGTGCAGTTGGGTCTGAGTTCCACCCCGGATTCTCCAGTTTCCTGCAACAGGGTCTTGGGAAAGTTACTTAACTCTTCACGAGGTTCAGAGAAAAGGCAGAGGGATGCCTGGCTGTCTCAGTCCGAAGAGCGTGCGACTCTTGATCTCCGAGTTGTCAGTTCAAGCCCCACGTCGGGTGTAGAGATTATTTAAATAAATAAAACTTAAAAAAAAAAAAAAGGTAGAGCCACAGCTAACTTCCGGGTTACTGTGCAAACCCAATCACATAAAGCCTATAAAGCAACTGGCCCATCATTGGTACTCGATTAATGGTAATTAGTATTATAATTGTATGTATGATTACTCCGGTCTCCTTTCAAAATCAAGTATTTCTGAAACTATTCAATGATGCTGAACTAAGGAGGCTTCGGCTCTGGGAAACAACATTGGTCAAAGTCTCCTTTGTACTATCATGCTGCCGTCCTAATGTCAGGAAGTCTTAAGTATTAGAACCATATGGGGCCCCATGATCATGAAAGTGGGTCTTATGGTTTCCCTCTGTCTGTACCTAGAAGTTGAGAATGCAACCCACAACCTCTTGGGCAGCTTTTTATTTTATTTTATTTCATGTCTTTTTTAAAAAATAGGTTTCATGTTTTTTAGAGCAGTTTTAGGTTCACAGCAAAATTGAGAACAAGTACAGAGGGTTCTGTTATGCCCCCTGCCCACAACGCACACCGTCTACCCCACCAGCATTTTAATTTTGTCGATGGAAATCACAAACTGTTCCAATTTTCTAAGAAAAATACAAGTGAAAATCAGAGCTACAAATTAGTATTAGGTGGTTTTGACATCCAGTCGCTGGGTATATTTATGGGTACCTTTCTTTTATTCTTCCTATTAATTTGTGAACAAATGGGACTCATTCCTGAGGCTTCTGCAAATTGCCTGGAATTGCTCTCCATCCGCTGGTAGAAAAATAACTTTCCTGGGCACTCAGTGCAATTAGCACTGACAGCAGGGCCCCAACATCCATTCTTCTTCCATTCATCTACCTTCTCATCCATTCATTCATTCTGATATTATGATGTAAGGATGCTGGCTTATTTTATTATTGGCGGTAGCCCGTGCTGGAGGGAAATGATGGGCTGGAAGCTTCCGTGGATGACCCTGACGGTGCTTACCCACCGAGCTGCTTTTTCACAAACGTTATTTCTTTGTGTTAAAAACAACAACAATAAAAATTTTAAAAAACCATAGAAACGAATATAATGAAATGCCGATGACCTTTACGTGCTGCAAATTCTGGATATGGCCATTTATGTTGTGCCGTGGGCTTTTTCTTCCCATCCAACCCGCGCAGGCTTTGGAAGCGGCATGGCCTACCTGCCGGCCGTGGTCATGGTGGGGAGGTACTTCCAGAAGAGACGCGCCCTTGCCCAGGGCCTCAGCACCACCGGGACGGGGTTCGGCACCTTCCTCATGACCGTGTTGCTCAAGTACCTGTGCGCGGAGTACGGATGGCGGAATGCGATGTTCATCCAAGGCGCCGTGTCCTTAAACCTGTGTGTCTGCGGGGCGCTCATGAGGCCCCTCTCTCCTGGGAAGGACCGGAACGACACGGGAGAGAAAGATCCGCAGGTCGTGCTGGGTCCCTCCCCTGGCTGGAAGTCAAGTGGGCCGCCGGGCGGAGCAGAAGAGAAGGGTGCGGGGCCCGGGAACGAGGAGGAGCCGGTGGGTGACCTCCCCGCCCAGGCGGGCCCGGAGAAGGCCGAGCACCCACAGAACCTGTGCGCCCTCCGAGTTCTGAAGACGGCCAGCCAGCTGACCGTGAGAGTCAGGAGGGGCTTCCGGGACTGGTACTCGGGCTACTTTGGCACAGCCTCGCTCTTTACCAATCGAATGTTTGTCGCCTTTATTTTCTGGGCTCTGTTTGCATACAGCAGCTTTGTCATCCCTTTCATCCACCTCCCGGAAATCGTCAATCTGTATAATTTATCGGAGCAAAACGATGTTTTCCCTCTGACTTCAATTATAGCAATAGTGCATATCTTTGCAAAAGTGATCCTGGGCGTTGTGGCCGACTTACCTTGCATCAGCGTTTGGAATGTCTTCCTGATGGCCAACTTCACCCTTGTCCTCAGTATTTTCATTCTCCCACTGATGCACACGTATGCTGGCCTGGCGGTCATCTGCGCACTGATAGGCTTTTCCAGCGGTTATTTCTCCCTCATGCCCGTAGTGACCGAAGACTTGGTGGGGATTGAGCACCTGGCCAATGCCTACGGGATCATCATCTGTGCCAATGGCATCTCCGCGCTGCTGGGACCACCTTTTGCAGGTAAACCATACAAGGTTTTAAGAGCTTAGAGTACATGTGGAGAGTGAGGTAGTGTTCTCATTTATATTTTGAAGTCCAAGATAAATAAGAAACAAGTTCCCATTTGTGTACATGCTCCTTTTCTTCCCATTCTGCTCCTCCCAACTTCTCATTTGTAAATGTTAGCAACATAATGGTCATTCTTTCAAGCAGAATGTAGGTGAACCTTTCATCTCTATCTGCAAGGTAAGTTGGCCAAGTTAGCAAAGTGGGTAACGGAATAGTGCAGAACCCCTACCCCATTGGGAGGAGGCAGCTTCTGCCCACCTCCAACTGATTTCTGTCACCGAGAAACATGGAAAATTTTTACGAGATCTTCTATTGTTAGGGGTTTTTTTCCCCCACGAAAAACCCAGGAACTCTGGGCTCTTCGGGGACATTTCCAGACTTTTTAAATTTAATTTAATTTTAATTGAATATAGTTGACATACATTACATTAGTTTCAGGTGTACAACACAGTGGTTCAGCAATTATGTACATAATGAATTGCTCACCCTGATAACCGTAACATTTCCAGACCTTTAAAACACTGTGTGTAGGTCCCACACAACACATCTATGAGCTGGATCTAGCCCCATAGCAATGTCTTGTCCCTGCTATAGTAATTGCCACAAATGCAGTGGCTTAAAACAATACAGATTTGTAATCTTATAGTTCTAGAGGTCAGGAGGCTAAATTGGATCACAAAAGGCTAAAAGCGAGGTGTCAGCAGAACTGCGTTCTTTCTGGAGGCTCTATGAAGGAATCCCTTTTTTATTTATTTATTTATTTATTTGCCTTTTACAGCTTCTAGAGACTGCCTGCCTCTGTGGTTCCTAGCCCCTTCTGGCATCTCCTGAGCCAGTGACACAGCAGTGGTCACAGACCTCTCTGATTCTGACACTCCCAACTTCTTCTTTCACTGATAAAGATACCTGGGTTACATTCAGTCTGCGGGACAATCCATGATAACCCCCCATCGCAAGGTCCTCAACTCAATCACACCTGCAGAGTCTCCTTTGCCACGTAACATAACATTCACGGGTTCCGGATATTAGGATGTGAGCAGCTGGGGAGGGTTGGGACGTTCGGCACACCAGAGGCCCAGAGCCCACCAGGTGACGACATCCCAGGCAAGCTCTCTCACAAGTGTTCACCTCAGTTCAGTGGAGAACTTGCTTCTTGCAATGGACATACCAGAAATCCCAGGCACCGAGGGGTCCTGTGGGAGCCAGAACCTTTCTGACCCTGGTGTTTGTGGAAAAACACATCAGGATCGGCAGGTAGACTTAATCTCCAAGAGGCCAGGTGCTGGGCGAAGGTGACAAGGTCCACCCTCTGTCCAAAGACTGGGGGCAGGAGTCCACATAGTGTGGCCGGGGCTGGGGCCAAACATCAACACAAAACTGCTGTCCCGAGGTGGCCATTCGGGCTGCCAGGCCAGGACCAGTGGCTGTGGTCACAGCTGACGCAGGTCTTGTGCAGTGTTGTAAGCCGACCCCGCAGAGCCCCATCTGTTCAGACGCCCGCACTCCCTGCTTGTCTCACTCCTCCTGGCCCTTTATTCTCATATCCTCTGCAGGAATACCTCCTCCAGGGAACCCCATGGGTGCAGGACAAAGCCCTCCCCGCCCCTTTCTTCCTGGTCTCTCTAGGGATCATAGAGTCATCTCCCATCCTAAGACCCCACTGACAGAAGGCTTGTTTCAACACATTTACTTTGAAGTCCCCCACAGAATTTGAAGTTCAAGACATCATGGTTTTTTGCCTATACAGCTGACAACACTGGCAGTTGGCTGACTAAAGGATTAAGAACTAAGACTCACTTTAGGAAACCCAGTGGTCACCTGTGGGGCCCCTCCTGGGCCAAGCTGCTCCTATTCTCTGCCTGTGCACAGAGAGGCAGGCACAGCATTTCTAGGTGACAGTGAGTAACTATCGCAGTGCAGCAAACTATATTGGCAGCTGTAAAGTTGGAACTCAGTAGTCTCGTGTAGAATTCTCTCTCAGGGATCCATTTGGCTGTAGGAGAACACCCCACCAATGGTAGCTTAAGCAGAGATTTAATAGTGTCACATAGGCCAAAATCTGTAATTCGGAGATACCAGATGGTTTTGGGACAGTGTCTCCAAGATCCTCCTGGCCTTTTCCTCAGGCTAGTTGCCTCACAGCCACACAATGGCTGCTGCTGCTCCAGCCCTACATCCTCATTTATACCAAGAAGGAAAATGGGAAGAAAGGCTCAGTTTCAGCCGACTTCCATTTTCATCTGATTGGCCAGAACTGTGTCACACAGCTAGTTCAAGCTTCAGGGGGAACTGTATTTTGCTTCCTAGCCTCTGTACTAGAGGAAGGAAAAGAGAAAAGAATGGAGATTGGGGGCTGGGTCAGGCAACCAATGGTACCTTCCAGAGATGTTAAACTGAAACATCCATTACGGGGATGCGGACATTATCAGTGGCTCATCCACTCTCTTGTTGAAGGTTCTTGTTGAAGGTATCGTCTGTGGGAATGGAATCTGTCATTGTTGGTTCTTTCTGTGATCCAGGCGTACTTTGTGCTTCTAACGGTCCGCCTGGGGTTATTTTTACACTGATCTACCAGATTTCAGTAGCAGCGTCATAACACAGCTGTGAGATGCGGCTTAAGCATTCACGATCAATGTTCGTTAAGCACCAAAGTTGGCCAGCATGGCTTCTCTATCTCATTCGCATGTCACATCCTTCTCACAGGATAGCATTCCAGCGCACGTTTTGGAGTGGAAGAGAAGGGAATTAGAACGAGAAGCAGGGAGTTATCCCTGGCCCTCAGTCATCAGGGGTGCTGCTGCTTCAAGCTTCCTCCCTGCTGCTTCAAGCTTCAAGCTTCCTCCTGCCTGCTTCAAGCTTCCTCCCTCGAAGCGGGTCTAGAGCTGAATGTCATCCACCGTGGATGGTAGATGCCGTTGTATTAACAGTTAGGAACCGTCTATGAATGGGTGTCACGGGGACTAGAAAATCAATGTTGTGCTGTGCGTCTCTAGGCCAGCAACCTCAGGGGACTCTCCTTCTGTTTGTTTGTTTCTTCTCCTTGCACTGAAGTCATGCACCAGAAGCACGCTGAACGGCACTATTGGCTAACTGCGTTGCATTTAATTCATTGACTTTCCAGGCCAAAGAGCCAACATTGCAATGAGATACAGGCCCGGCCTTTTACGCCTCATAGTTCGGAAGTGACGGGCAGTACGAGTGACCGAATTACCACATTACATTCTTGCTAGAAATTTGAGGTGGGCTAGGAATTATTACTTGCAGGGTTTGCTACGGGGAAAATTATTGTTCACATTACCTTTTTCTTTTTTAATGGGTTCAGAAATGAATGTATTTTCCATTTTTCAAAGTGGCTTCTACTGGCATTAAGAAATCTGGTGCCATTTACTAGCGTGTTAGACAATCACACAGTTCCATTTAGGAGAAGAATATACAATCAGATAGCGAACAGACATTGCAGCTGTGTCGTTTAGCAACATGAACTTCTTGATCTAGTTCATTTGTAATATTGTTGGGCATTCAGTTCTTCTCCTGTAAAGATGTAATGATGGTGCAAACTTTTCTAGACGTTTCCAGTGTAAAATATAGCAAAACGTGGCCACCAGATTTGACTAAGAATCCACACCTACCTCCTCTCTTTGCCTAAAATATAACACCCTAGCAACAATTTGCAGGGTTTTTCATCAAAAGCTGGGAATACCTATTTAATAAATAAGAAAAACAGCCATCATTCCTCATTTGACAGACTCAAAGGAAAAGTGAATGCAATTTAATAGGGAATCAGATTTTATTTGGAAGCTGTTGATTTGAATTGATGGTTGGATCAGGGTTGCCAAGGATGCCAGGCTCTGAACCAAGGAACCGAGATCAGATCTGTAGGAAGAGGTGGTGAAAGATGCATGAGGTGGGTAGCTTGTCAGAAACATCATTTCTCTGAAGAGTTATATCCATGTGTACTGAGGATCAAAGCACAGAGTGGAAGTCCTGTCTCTCCTGACCCGCTTTGCCTCTGATGCAGGAATAGATTCAATTCAAACTGGCAGAAATGTTAAAAACGGGCGCCAAAAGAAAAAGGGGCAGGATCCAGAGTCTTTTAAAAATAAATCTGAAAGATAGACTAGAGAAACCTATGGGGTTAATTTAACATAAAATTTAGGATTACTTCCCCCAATTCTTTCCTATGAAATTGTTTGGTCAAATTGGGGGCACTTTTTTAAAAATGGACACATGAATTCCTGAGTTACTTTTAAAGACTGGAGTGAGAGCACAGACACCCTTTTACAAACATTTATACTTTTAGAGGAAAGAAACTATTTTAAAATATAATGAACTCAGCTAACGACCGTAACAATGTGTAATATACTTAGCATGTTCCAAAGTCTGCAGAGGCAAGAGGGGGGATGGGGTGGAGGGAAGGGGTTGCGAGGGTGTACTAAGGGGGATGGTGTTTATTACTGTCCCCCGCAGAAGGAGGACCTGTATATGTGCAGACAAGGAGCCAAGAGAAAATGTGTTTGAAACTCCAAAAACTTGTGGCGTGCGCTCATGGTTAAGCTTGGGGCTGCAGGGGAAAGAGGTAGGCGTGCAGTGGTTACGTGGTGACTCTGAGCCAAGTTGGGTGCGTTCTTGTTCATATGTCAGCGTCACAGCGCCTTTCTGTTTCATTTCTGAAGCCGAGTCTTTGTTTTTTGGATTAGACGATTCATCTCCCTTGTTCCTCTTGTCTCAAATTGGAGATTGGGAAAAACTGATAGAGCATTTTACTAAAGCTACATCTCAGGAGTCCCGTGTTTTCTTCTTTTGTGTGTATCAAACAATAAACAAACTCAAAAATGTTGGTGAACTTTTAAAGGCTATCTGGAGTCTCCAGCTTTTGAGTGGTTACAATATATAAATGTTTCGTGCGGTCAAGTGTTTGTTTTTCTTTATGATGACCTTTGACTCACCCAGGTGCGTTAATTATGCACGAGACACAAATGCAGAAGACAGACAATTGCCAGGAAGTCAGAGGTACTGCCTGACAAAAGTGGTGGCTTTTGTGTAGCTATTTGTTGGTGGGGGAAGGTTGAGTCGTGCTTGTGCGTTATTCGTTTACCAGTTAGATATTTTTTAAAAAGATGTTTTTTGAAAAGTGGTCACGAAAACTATGGTTGGTCCTTAAATCATTCCTATTTTCCTTATGTCTTTGCTAATGAATGTACTTGTTGATATGAAACAAAAAGGGAATGTTCAAAATTTGTGTTTTCACCATAAATGAAATGCCTGTGGACGGCTTAATCCTCTCAGTTCACATGGTTTGGCTACATGGGGACCTTGACATGTGACTGATGCTTAGATTTAATCACTGAAGTCTAATCCATTTCATAGTTTCTGAGGCTTTTCTTTCACATTTTAACATCCCTGAAATTGGAATGCATTTTACAAAGTCCCAGGAAAACAATGAGTCATATTTTAATTGACAAGGATATTTCTTTCTTATTGCTACATAAGATAATGAGGCATCATGCAATTCATGATATCTTAGAATCCATGAAATATAGTAGTATCTTCCAGAGTGCCTAGTATGATTACTATATGAAAGTTTTAGATTATAGTATTAAAAACTGATAATTTAGTCAGTATTGAAAGCTATATCCTTGGCAATTTAAAGTTCTTTGTGTATAGAAATATTAAAGTTTTATAGCTGTAAATGTGAATTTTATAAAACATGGAAAATTTTATTCTTTCTAGAACAGATGTTTACTCTCAAATATTCCACAGTGAATGAAAGTTCAAATGCCTTCTGCTCAGCCTCTTTTGATATACCCTAGAAACTTCTTCAGAAGAGTTATGAAGGTTTTTAGAAAAGATTTGTGGTTATATTTGTGAAAAAAGAAAATCATTAGGTTCCCTTTTCACTGTTGGCTTTGTGTCAGCCTGAGAGACTCTGAGGGCTGGAAGCCACATCCTCCCAAGGGTCGGCCAGCTACTCTATCCATGCCTTAAGCACTTTGTAAGGTACCCTAGCAGCTTGGAAGATAAATGCCTGCCATTCTCAGGCACTGAGAAACTCTGGCTTATTTAGCCTGGGCTTAAAAATGGCGAACTAAAATATTTGGGGCATGACATGACATGTAAATAAATTCTCATAGAAATATTTACAGTCACAGTAATTGTGTTCTTGACTTTTATCAGCTAGGTTACACTGAACGTATTCCTTTTTGTTTTGCAGGCTGGATCTATGACATCACAGAAAAATATGATTTTTCCTTCTATATATGTGGCTTACTTTACATGGTAGGGATACTCTTTTTACTCATTCAGCCGTGTATTCAAATGATAGAACAATCCAGAAAAAAATACATGGACGGTGCACACGTTTAGCGTCATGTTCTGTTTCCTGTAAGATTTCTTTGGGGTACCTATGCCTACCTCACATGGTTGCTGTGAGGAGCCCGTGACATTGTGGGGAAGCGCTTTGTATGATAACCTGCACTGTCATTTGTAAATGCCGTGGTCATGACTGCATTTGAAAGCAGCACTGTCTTTCCGTTTGGGGAGAAGCAATGCCGGAAGGAATGAAAGACTCCATACATTTCAGAGATGACAATGTCCTTCAGAGACGGCCTGTTAAATAATTGGTAGAAATGCCCTTATGAAAACCACTCTCTCTCGTCATCCACTGGGACTAAGGTTTTAGATACAGCTTTTGAAACAAAGACGAGGAATAAAATCTTTTAAACTCATCTACTCTTTGTATGGTGAAAATAATTTATCTAAATGCTTCTGGAAAGCTTATAGATAAATGGGTTTCAAGCACAAAAATCTCATTAGCCTTCAGAACTTGTTACAGGGGGCTGTTGATCTACTAGTGGAAAAAGTAAATGCAGACTCTGATTTCAAAGGTAATACATTTAGTACAATGAAAGAAACACAGTTTATATTTTTATGAAAGAATTCTGCAGCTAGGGGGTACAGTTTTTCAATCTCCCTCTAAGAAAAGCATCTGTCATCAATCCTAATTTAGTATTATTTAGTTATAAACTGAATCTTAATTCAAAACCTAGATAAATAATATTGATTTCCTTAGCAAAAAGTCGTATTTGTCACAAAACATTGAATCAAGGGCTATGATTTAAGCCCTTTTATTCATATCATTAGCCTCTTCATTTATGAGCATGATCTGGGGTTTATAAAATTTTTTTCTGAGTTTCTCCTGCCCAATAAATAAAACAGAGAAGGAACTGCTGTTTGGTGTGCAAAGTTGGCAGTTAAATCATCTGTGAAGTGTGTTACTGATCCAAAATGTGAGACTATCAAGTTGCAAGCATAAGAAACGGAATGCCCTCAGTCTAGACGTCTGTGCACCTGATGTTGGAGTACGTGGTAACTGGTAGCCCCCTTCTCCAGGGCCTCTTGTCATATAGACCACTCGTTTGCCTGAGCTTGACACAGTTTTAAAAATTGGTCTCTTGACTGATTTCATCCACAAGATAACTGTAATCCATGACATCAAATGATGCTCCTCCTTTATCTGAGATCTCTATTTTTCTAAGCCAAACAGTTTTCAGCCTGCAGAATGTTCCTCCCCAGAGTCGTTTGGAAATTTCTGGCTGCCTTACTTGTTTACACATATTTTAGAACTATTTCAATTTCCACTCACAATTTGTTCATCACACGCACACAAATCCTTTCATATCATTGCCAACGTCTTGGGTCAAATTTATCTAAAGTGAGCACAGACCATTCTTAATTATCCTTGGTAATTAGAGGCAGGAATAGTCCTAACGATCGGAATCACAGAGTTACCCTAAGCGTTGTTTTAGCCAACAGTTTCAGACTTCTCCTCCACCAAATGCTTCGGAGCTGTTAACAAGGGATTACAAGAACAAGCCTCCATTTTCTTTCATCTCCATTATTTCCTGCTCTAATGCCTAGTGGGAGGGGTTAGATAATCAAAGGGGCCACCAAAATCACAATAATAATAAAAGGCAGCTAATGGAAAGGAGAAACAAAAGCCTGGTTAGTATACACACTCTAATATTACCTCTAATGACTCGAGAATCGCCTATAGATTGTTACAGATAATAAATTGCATGTCAGCCTCCGTTTGGTTCAACACAACGACCTGTTTGTTATCATTACAGCTTTGGCGGCTGTTTAATAATCCAGATGTCTATTTTGATAAAGGTACTCTTAAATCCTGCGGCAATGCTCTCTCTCTCTCTCTCTCTTTGCTGTAAAGTCAGAGAATTAGACCAAGGAAACATATGTGTTTTGAAACTGACTACATGACTTCCATGACTCATTTTCAGACAACATCAAATTAAGTATTTTTTGAATGGTGCTATAGAGCCGATGCGTTTTGATGCTCACGCTGTTGGCTGTGCATCATCAACGGGAACTTTTTCCCATTATACCCAAGGTAGATCTGCGGTTTATACAGGTGTTCGTTGACTCTCTGCGTTGACGGAATGGTGATTCCTACCCAACCAGAAGTTCCTATTTTACAAAAAAAAAAAAAAAACCCAAAACAAAAAAACAGTAAAACCTGCTTGCAATATTTATGTGGAGAATAGAATAAAAGAGAATGCTATGAGGAATTACAGCAAATCTATGAATCCTTTCTGTTTAAACGATGTTATTCTTTACAGTTCTTTGGCAATCTTGTAAAGGGTTAATTGTATATTTATACCATGTGCTTTATAGTGTTCCCCTCGCATATCTAAGTCATTTTTATTTATAGATGATGAAATAAATTTTGTCCTCTTTAAAGATGGCCAGTGTGTTTTTGTGTAAAATCTCTATTTTCTTGGCCTTAAGGGGGGAAAGTCTTAAGACATAACTGATGTTTAGCTGTGTGGTTCTTTCCCCTGCAACAGTTTCTTTCCAGATGTGGTCATTGAACCACCTGGAGAGAATCACGTAGGGTGGCTGTTAGAAGTGCTAAGTCCAGCTGTTAAATTTGAAATGTACACACTTTTTCATCCAACAACTGCATTTCTAAAATTTTCCCCTACATATGAACAGAGACAAATGAACAAAGATTTTTAGATTTGTTGTTTGTTATATAAAAGACTGGAAACAATTTAAATGTCCATCAATAGGGAACTATAAAATAAAGTATGGTATTTATGCAGCTATTTTTTTTTTTTTAAAGACCCATCTAGGGCTCAGTCGGTTAAGCATCTGCCTTCAACTCTGGTCATGATCCCAGGGTTCTGGGATTGAGCCCCACATGCATCTGGCTCCCTGCTCAGCAGGGAGTCTGCTTCTCCTTCTGCCCCTTCCCCCAGCTTGTGCACTCTCGCTCGCTCAAAAATAAATAAATATTTAAAAAAAGAATAGTGGCATTGTTTTACATTTTTGTAGATTTCTTTAATATCTGGCTTCATAGAAGACAGCTGGATTCTCATCTTCTGCATTCAATCTGTTGTGATATGTGGTTTTGATTGATATACATGAAAAGTTCAGCTTTATACCAATATGTAGTTGGAAAGGGGAGGAGTATTTTAATAATCTTTTCAGATAATTGTAGATTTTTTATTTGATACTGTGCCAAAACTCAACACACTTGTATTTCTTAAAGGTTAGTTGCAATGCGGAATCTGACATGGTATCAGTGAACTTTTTGTACAGTCTTCACATTAGAAGCCATTGATCTGTCTTGCACTTTGGATGAATCTTTTGCCCAATTAATGATTTTGTAACATAATGCTTTAGTCATTTGGAAAATATTGGTCCACTGAGTCTTATAGATCGTCCAGATGTTTTTATATTTCAAACAATGTGTTTAAAAATCACACGATCCTTGTGTGTTTCCACTTATATAAAACATCCAGACTAGACAAATCCATAAATACAGAAAGCATATTGGTTGCCAGAGGCTGGGAGGAGAGGGGGAATGGGGAGTGACTGCTAGTGGGCACTGCCAATAGGGTATCCTTTTGGGGTGATGAAAATGTTTTGGAACTAGATACTCGTTGCATAATTTTGTGAATCTATAAAAACCACCGAATTATACACTCTAAAAGGGTGAATTTCATGATATGTAAATTCTATCTCAATTGGCAAGTGGACAAGCTCATGGAGGTTGATATAAATTACCCCAAATTCTAATTTCCTTTTGAAAGCTTAAATATTATCATTGGCAACAAATCCTGCAGTTATTTTCCTTGAAGTGACAGCCTCATTTTCAATAATGTGTCTGCCAAATATAAACACAGCGTTTCATGGAAAAGGCACTAGTGAGCTTGCAGCTTGGTTACAGAAGTGCTTTTCCCCAAGACAACCATTGGACTTTGATTTGGAGCAGCTGTGCTTTGTGCCTACTTCCCATTTTGTCAGGCAGAATATTAAAAAGATGTGGACTCAAGAGGAAAGACTTAATAAAGAAAAGGTGATAATTTTTACGATTTCATCAAAGATAAGTGAATCTGGCCATTATTTGACTGCAAGCACATGGCAGTGAAAAATACAATGACTTCCAGGACATTTTGGTGTCCCTTCTTTGACCCATGCTAAGGCACTTTGACGCCATGTTGCTTTTGCACCATCAGTGCAAACATTCACACAGTTGCTCCGGTCTCAGCCATGAGAGTGAATAAAATTGTACAATATTGTGAATGTTTCAGCACCATTTGAGTTTGTTTCCAAGCATTCACATAAAAGATCAGTGCAGGGATGCGGAGGGGAGTGCCTGGGTGGCTCAGTCGGTTAAGCATCTGCCTTCGCTCAGGTCATAATCTTAGGGTCTTGGGATGGAGCCTCTCACTGAGCTCCCTGCTCAGCGGGGAGTCTGCTTCTCCCTCTCCCTCTGCCTGCTGCCCCCTCTGCTTGTGCTCCCTCTCTCTAATGAATAAATAAAATCTTTTTAAAAAGAAGAAGAAGTTCCCGGATTAGCTGGTGCTGATTATCAGATGAACACAAGCAAAATGGCGAGTCTAGCCACTTGTATTGACTTGTCCATGTGTAAGACAAGAGTACAATACTGCAGAGAAGATACTAACTCAGCCTTCATGTCTGCAGCTGAATCTTCAGTATGACAAGCTACTGTATCATTAGAAAGTGGCACTGCTATGATTCCTTTTGCTGACTCTCCATCCAGCAGACATTCAGCAGCATCAGCGATACGGGCGCCTGTGTCTGTCTCTAGGCAGTTGGGCGCAGTCACTTCCCTGAGCTGTACTTCAATGGCTTTTGCATTCCTCGTTTGAAAGGCTGTAATGATCAATTTTTGGCTTTTAATGAACTCATCACATCTACATTTAAAATACTCGGTTCCCTTTTCTTTAAACCCTACATTATTATTCTCAAAATGGTGCCACAACTTGAAGAGGCCCCAGAAAGGTAAGATTTTAACATCATAAAGCTGAGGAAAAGATAAATCTTGGGAAATGTTTTGTTTCGTGTTTATACTTTTTTTTAGTAGATTTCAGT